AGAGTATTAATGGTGGAAATAATGGACAATAATATGAAAACACTCCTGATTGCAATTTCTGCTCCGAATGATAAACAAGAAGAATTTTATAAAAAATTACAGATGAAAATAATTGAACTGGACTATGCCAATATAGTTATGATGGGAGATTTTAATGGAATTGTAGACAATAAACTGGACTATACAGCAACAACAACAAAGCAAAATAGAAAGACTCTCCCAAAATCTTTTTTTAAAATGTTTGATGAATTAAATTTAAAAGATACATGGAGAGAAAGAAATGCTAAAACCAAGCAATACACTTTTTACTCAAATAGACACTTATCATGGTCCAGAATAGATATGATATGGATGTCAACAGAATTACTATCTAATATTCAAGAAGTAAATATTGAAACAAGTACTTGGGCAGACCACAACCCAATGACAATCAAATGGAAAGGACAAAAAAGAAGATCGAGATGGACGCTAAACAATACTATCTTTAAAGGAAAAAGACTTTACACAGCAGTTGGAGAAAGAACTGGCCTTTTTCTTTAGAGAAAATAAAAAAGAAATTATAAACTTAAAGGAAGGGAAGAAAAGATGCTTAACTGTAATAAAGACTACATTAGAGTTTTGCTTAAGTCCAATTCACTATTCCAGCTTTGTGTCTAATGATCAGAATTGCCCAGGTATTCATTACCTTGAAGGTATTTCCTTCACTGAGTTTGGACTTTAAGATCTTCTTCCTTCACATGAAACATTCACTTCTAATCTTCTTGATTTCAATTGTGCTGACACTGTCAGCTTAAAGAATGCCCAGGCATTTGTAGCCATCCTCTTCATCCAGATCTTAATGTTATTTCTAAACAGCATCTTAATTCCTTCAGATTTTACTATTTTCCTCCTGTTGATGGCAAGGCTGAATTTTTGACTTTGCAGTTTCTTGGCTGCATATATGAACAGTGTGAAGCTATGATTCAATTTCAGTTGGTCTTTTTCCATACGACTGATTGAGATCATCGATAAAAAGAAGGTGGGATAGCCTGGCAGGTGTTTATGTTATTTGATAGCATGACCTGATTTATTCAATATTGTTTACAGAGGAGTCTATGCAATGACAAACTGTAATGGTGATAGTAAATCTCTTTGAAAAATTCCTCTTGTGATATTAATCTCTCCTAGTCTACACCACTGACCAGCAACCATGTCTTCCATTGTGCCATTGATCTTTACACAAAGCTTCTGATGTTTCTACTGTCTCCTGTTATTTCTATGATAGTTGCAACATCCCAGGTTCACATGATTGTCATTTCTGACCTCTCCAGCCAACTTCCAACAAGCAAAGTCAATGGGGGAATTCATTGAATGATTGTGTATTCACAACAACTGCAGTTATTTGCTTAACAACTGTGGCGAAAGAGGTAGTAAAATTGGGTGTAACTCATTTAACAACTGTCTTGCTTGGCAAATAATCTAATTGTGGTATTAAGGACTCGTTGTATTCTTGGTAAATTTGTTAATTTGATTTAATGGCTAAGGCACCAGGTGTAAAAATTAGGATACTGTGAGTTCTATTCTCACTTTAGCCATGAAAGATGATTGGGTGACTCCCAGGATTGTTGTTTTGAGGAAAATAGGAGGAGGAGGAAGAAGTATTAGATATGTTTACCACCTTCAGTTATTTATAAAAATATTAAAGGTGAGATAAAAATAATAAATAAAACCTTCCTATTTGAGAGAAATAATATTGGGGCCTTGGCAGTGGTGCAATGCTGCCGGTTCAGATGAGTTCTAGCAAACCGGTATTTCCAACAATCAGCTGGCCCCGCCCACCCACCCCCACCCTATCCTGTCCTATATTTTCATGTTTTTCAGTTCAGCTGATTTGTGTGGCATAGTGGATTTCCACACCTAAGCTGTTTTACTTACTGGGGCTGCCCTAGAAGGTAAGCCGTAGAGTTTGAAATTGGTATATTTTGAATGCTGCACACGCATGCTCACAAAACCGTTTGTTAAATCGGTTGCAGTCCACCACTGGGCCTTGTCATCCATGAGGGAGCAAGGCAATAACAAACAAGATGGTGGTTGCAGTAGCACAACTGAAGCATACCTCTTTAAATATGCATGTTACATCAATACATGTACATATGCAGAAAGGGCTACGATCATGCTTCTGTGACTATCATCTTGCCATTTTGAGATATTGTTGATTTAGGAAATGGGAACAAAGCTCTTCTTTTCAGCCACAACTATGGGAAAGAATAAATTCATATGAGAAAGAATAAATTATTCATCTAATGACAACATTATTGAGAGCACATAATTTTACATTAACAAGATAACTCAAAGTTGAATGGCAACTGAAATATGCATTCCTTCTATACCTGCTTATATCAGAAAGTAAAGCACTTCTGAAATATTTATAGTTCTAAGGCAACTGTTATGTTCAGGCCAAAGTTTCACAATTTTAAAAAAAGGTTGTATTCCAAATGTTTATAATAAAAATGGAAAATTTGGAGAAGGGATTTGTTATTTGATAAGTTCTAATATGTAAGATAAAAGTGATGACTTTTTAGGCAAATTTTATTTCAAGTGTGATTTATGGGATCAAAACCATTTCAGTGAATTGAGGAGGAGAGTTTGCATAAAATACCATGTCAGAGCCCTTAAAATTTAATGTTACAGACATTGCTTCTTATAAATTCAGTTAAAGTTTCTGAGCTTGCAACATTATTACTGTCAAAATGTTAATATCAGCCGCCTGGAAGTGTAATAGCATAATGCTGTAAATGTCTTTTATCTATATTGATTTTAAGAGATGAGCCTGCTTAGAAAATATTAGGCCTCTATGTACTGTATATTTCCAACAGTCAACCTGTCTTTTATATACAGTATATTAGCCATTGGAGAAGTTTTGTGCTGGGACAATTTTCCCAAAGATGAATATAACAAAAGGGATCAATCATTCTCTTCCCAGGCTGTGATATCATTGCTGGGAACTAGACCCCAAAATGTGGTACTTACAGTAAGAGGAAAATGGCTGGCTATGTTAACTTGCCAAGATTGGCAACCTGGACTCTTGCTTTCTTTTCAGTCAATATAGATTATCTTGGATATCACATGCTGCTCTCATTGACTCATTTTAACTGTACTGGCCTTTGTTTAGAAAACCTCAGCTGCAATATCTGGTTGCATACTTTCACAAGCAATGTGAAAAAAATCAGCAATGTTACCTTTTTACTCGAGTGCGAGAAAATACCCTATGGTAATTTGCAAAATGTAAAATATAACATGTTTCCCCCTTATAATTTGCCCTACAGAGACTCTACATAATATGATCTTTAATCCAACAGAGCTAATATTTACTAATATACTACATTATGTAACATTATATTTAATCCAAAGGGCTAATAAATTGCTTGGGCTTCAATCCACACACATACCCCTCAATATAGCAAGCATACTTATACGCTTTTCTTCCCCTGTTTTATCCACAACAACCACCCTGTGGGGTGAATTTAGAGGATTGACAATGACTGGCCCAAAGTCACCCGATTGGCTTTCATACTTAAGGTGGGACTGGAATTCCCAGTCTGCTGGTTTCTAGCCTACCACCTTAACCATTGCACCAAACTGACCCTCTTTCTTTAATGATTAAACCAATACAGCCACATGTATCCAAATTAGAACGGCCTATTTTATAATAACTTCCTGGGTGCTATAGCAGCATCCACAAAGGGTCAAACAGTTGTGATGATTTGATTTGATTGAAGCTACACTTAATTGCATGTGTGAGTAATTTTTCCCCTCTATTCCTAATTCCTGGTTTCTAAAATTTCATTCCACTGGCTTACCTTTCCTAAGTTCCATAACAGGCACAATAAGCAATTAAAATCAGTATCCATTAATAAAGTGTTCTGACCAGACAGGAGAGCTGAATGCCTGGCTAAGAAGCAAACAAGGTGGAAAAATTTAAGGTAAACATAAAATAGCAGAGATATCTATGAGACATTGGAAAAGGTGTCTTTGAAAGTAAAATCAAAATACATGCAGCATGAGAACAGGAAAAAAATGGCTTTACTGTTAAAAGAAGTGAGCAACAAAGAAACTTTTGACGGGATACGATCAGGGGTGGGCTTCAAAAATTTAAGCAAAGGGTTCTCTGCCTGGTTGCTGGGTGGGCATGGCCATGGTGGGCGTGGCCTAGTCGGCCTCCTGCACCACAAGGGGGGGGGTGTTTTTGCCTTCCCCGGGTTCCATAGGCTTTTCTTGAGCCTCCAGGAGGGTAAAACAGTCTCCATGGGCTCCAGAGGCTCTCTGGAAGCTGGAAACGGGCATATTTCTGGCCTTCCTGAACTTCCGGGAGGCCCATTTTTGGCCTCCCAGAATCTCCGTCTGCACCCTGCAACTTACCTGCATCCAATATGAGCCATGTGGGAACTCCTGAGAGGGACGGGGTGGGGTGGGCAGCTAGGATTTGGGGGCAGCCAGGATTTGGGGGTTATCCGAACTGCACAGAATCTTAGCTAGGGGCTCTCCCAAACCCCTGCAAACCCCCAGCAGCCCACCCCTGGATATGATCACTATGAACAGATAAATGACCCTTTCATATGTGCCTTAAATTGCCTTAAACTGGCTGGCAATGAAGACTGGTTGAGAAATATTTATGGGTTTCAACCATATCCTACGCCTTCCCTATGGTGACAATCTGGTGTTCTGTCTGAATATACTTTCTATGACCTCTAATTAATGGGCTTCTATGGTCCTTCATCACCACCACTATCCCATATACACAAATCTACACAAATCTTTGTCTGGAAGGCAAGTACCAATTATGTTCCTTTCATTGGATTGGTTTTTAAGAACTTGTGATTGCCTTTGCTATTTTACATGAACAACTTTCTGTTTATCTTTCTCATACTTGGCACATACTTTCAAATATTATTCACTGGTGGACCAGAACCAAGGAAGAGGAAGAAATGTTTACTGCTTTACATTTCTTCCTATCCTTTTGAGTAGAAGGAATAACTGGCAACTCTTATGAATATGTAGGTCAGAGTTTCATGCACTCTGGTGAAATGAAAGTCAAAACCAGAGGTTTGTGGGTTGAATTCCCTTCAGAAGGAAGCAGATATCCCAGCAGCCCACAATGAAAAATTTGTGGAAGACAGTGAAATTAGATTCAACAGGGAACATTCCAACCACACTGCACAGTGAAAACTGGAGCAACGATGAAATAAAAATCACAGCAGGCCAATTAGATAGCAGTACTTTTATCAGTATAAATCAGAAATGACAACTTTTGATGTGTAGCAGGAAAATGCAGGAGGAAGTTGTCTTCTTGGTGGACTGCACACAAGTATGGAATAACATCTTTGAGAAATATATAGTGATGAGGAAATTTGGTTGTGTAGATCAACCTGTAGAGTTGATTGTGTAAAGCAACCTGTTGCTAACCCAACAACTTAGACCAGCCTCCTTCAAACCATATATTCCATATTTTCATTTTTTTTTAATTCCATCAGATTTTATTGTTTTCCCCTGTTGATGGCAAGGTTGCCTTTTTTTTCTAGGCTAAACAACTTTGCAATACCTTGGCTGCATATATGAACAGTGATTGAATTTCAGTTGGGCTTTTTCCATGCAGCTTCAGATCTTCCATGTACAGAAGATGGGATAGCCTGGCAGATGTTTATGTTGTTTGACAGCCTGATCTGATTTGTTCAGTATTATTTACAGAGGAGTCTCTGTGCAATAGCAAACTGTAATGGTTGTTGAGGTAATTCCCCGTTAGGAGAATGAGCGCACACAGGGAAATGTAGTGAGAGTGGTGAAGAATAACACACAAACAGCACACAGATACACTGTATAGTAAAATGTAGGTTTTTACTTCCAATAAATGTTTAAGCAAAGTCCAAACAAGCAGTCCAAGTCATTCACAATTAAAGCAATCAGTTTTCAGTCCAGGGATAATCCAAATAACAAAGTCCAGTATCAAAAACAGTTCAGTAAATAGACTTACATCAAACCCAAGAAGAACTGTGATCAGCAAACAATCAATAGTCAATAGGAACAGCAACACTCTCCAGAACAACAGAACAGGAACTAAACAACCCAGGTTTCTGGCTCCATCTTATGGCCATTTGAGGAATCACACCCAATTACAGTTTTAGCATTCTCTTAAAGAGACAGTATTAAAATGTCTATCCTGGTTTATATATTTTCCAACCCAAATGTTAGGTGACTTATATTCCTAACAATGGCGATAGTGAATCTCCTTGAAAAATTCCTCTTGTCATGCCTCTGGTGGAGACTGACTCTGAGGGAGAGGAGGAACAGCCAACAGGAAGTGTGGCTCCAGAGGTTGTGGAGGAGGCTGGGGAAGGGCAGAGGTCGGCTGAGCAGTCAGAGGAGGACCCAGGCCCATCCCTCTCTATCCTAGGGCCGCAGGGAGGAGAGTATAAGGGAGAGACATGGTCTACTCAGGAGGAGAGGGCCTTGATCCTCTTCATGGCTGCAGCTGTGATAACTGAATAGGAGGACAGACCTTCGTACGGGCGAACGCTGGAAACAAAGTGTGGGAATATCTCTAGTTTCTGGTTCCTCTCTGAGTTTGGTGTCCTTCCCAGTGTGTGTTCTGTTATCTATGGACATCCTCCAGCCCTTATCTTGCCTGGTTTGTGTTGCTTTTTTCCTTCTTCTTGTAACTGTTTGTATGCAAGGTTTGTTTTTTTTGTCTTCCATCAAAGATATTTGGAGCTTGGAAGCAAAGTGAAGGAATAAAAGGGGCTTCACCAGGTTTTTGTGACTGTGTTTATGTTTATCCCCACCCTGGGTCATCACACCTCTCATGATATTAACCTTTCCCAATCTAGCACCATGGGTTGTAGAGTTGATTGTGTAGAGCAACCTGTTG